TGTCTGCCAAACTCTCTCACACACCTAAACACAAAGAGTCCGGGGCTGAATGTCGCTTTAGCTCATGGTAGTTCCGTTAAATGTCAGTTTGCTGGGTTACCGAAATGTTTACCTTTCCTTTCCGCAAAAGCTCCTTACAGCCAATCCTCATAATCGCCTACGGACCAATGAGACGACGAGAAGACTGTGGTGCGTTTGCGGTCATTATCAAAGTCTGTTTTACACAATGCTGAATCGCTGCTGCTATGATACCAAGCTGCACGACCTTTTACCGCTGTTTTCAGCAGTTGTTGTGGTCTCCCGAGGGGCAATACGCTATGTAACACTGTAAACTTTATTACTGTGTTAAACCAGATATTCAGGCGTGAGTAGATGCATATAAAAACACACAGAGGTAATTAAACTTGACCATTGGTGGGTAATTTTTCTTCACAAAGGGCCACATGAGAAATTTTGACTGCTGTAGAGGACGATCTGAACAATTGTTTAAAATAATTAATAAACTGTGAATTTAAGTTTTATTGTCTTCAGGGAACAGTGGACATCTTAGCAAAACAATAAATTATGATAAGTCCAACTTTATATCTTTATAAGTCATTTATATTTTGCTTCACTGGGTTCCCAAAAAATCTTTTACATTTATTTCACCAATTCAATTCAAAAAGTGAAGTAAAGATCCATTACATAATTATATAATTTGAATTTTTCTTTGTTATTTTTGATAATTTACATGTCAGCTGTCAGCAGTCTTCCCCATTTTTGTACATGCCTATAACATATTTGAGTTTGTTTAATAATTGTCTTTGGTATTATTACATTTCTTAATTTGATCTTAATGCGTTTAAAATTATTGAAATGATTAAAAAAAATCTTTTCAATTTTATGGTGATGTTTTATGGCGATGTCATTTCATGTTTGAGATTTAATAATTTATAATTACATTTTGTTTTGTCAAAGTAAAATAATGCCTAAGTTCTGATGTGCCTTTTAAGCTCTCCTGCAAAGTAATGTACCAGACTTTTCAGTGGATTCAGATCTTAAACAGTTTTCCTTGCAGTGTTGGTGAAATGCACATAGAGGTCAGTGTGTTTCTCTTTCTCCCTGCTTCCTCAGCAGAGAGGAGAGGTCATTTGGAAAGAAACCCAGCCTTTATTTTCTTGTCCAGCATTTGTTGTCCATCAACGAAGTCAAGCTGCTTGTGTCAGAAGCGTGAGGGGAAATCTTCTCTTTTGTTTTGTCTTCATACAATAATTTTTTCCTCTGCTGTCATCTCTGGGATCATGACTTCTAATTCCAATTTATCCAACATGCGACGGCTGGTGGAACAACTTAAACTTGAGGCCAGCGTGGAAAGAATTAAGGTAAAAAACCAGCATGGTGGTGTTGTTATCGGCTGTTGGTCTTGTTTCTTTCAGTTTTCCCATGACTATTGACACAACATTGTTGCATGACAATATTCTGGTTTTATACAAAATATTAGGCTACTAATAACATCAACATTTCTTTTTTTTTTTTTTTTTTTACAAAAAGAACAACAAAAATTCAGAAATTTACACAAAAGGTCAAATATTTGCAATCCAGTTGTGTGAATGTAGTTTCTATTACACTAATTATAATTGAAATTCTGAGGACTTTAATGCACCAATAGTATAAATGTATAAACAGAGTTTAGAGTAGTCTTATGGTTTCCCTCTGTCATTTGGGAAACATGTCTGGCACCAATCATCTTACATTGTCGTTCACATACTTTAACGAAAAGGTTCTAAGTTTCCGAGTTTGTTCCATTGCCTTATTTTTAAGTAAACTGTAGCAGGTAAAAATTCATTTCCCTGGACGCAGCACACATTGTTTGGCACAAATTCTAAAACCTATCATATAGATACACTTGGTGCTTTTTCCAGGTGTCCCAGGCGGCTGCAGAGCTGCAGCAGTACTGTCTGCAGAACGCGGGTAAAGACGCCCTGCTGGTCGGAGTCCCTACAGGGAGTAACCCCTTCAGAGAGCCACGCTCCTGCGCCGTGGTGTGAAGGTCGGACACTTTTCTATTTCGCAAGGGAATATTTATTATGTCAGCTGAGCTTCAAAAGAAGAATAATAGGTTTTGCACCCTTTTTGCAGAGTATGAAGAAGTGGACACAACTGTGACATCTCCTACAGGGAAAAAAGAGATTTCAGCGTTTTATCCAGATATGTTTTGTACAAATTATAATTTTTTTTTAATGAAAGAAAAGAAAGACTGTAATAAAATATTTCTTTGGTACATATGTCTTTCTTTTTATATTATTTTACTTCATTTTAGATTTCTTTTTCTTTTTAAAGCACATGGTGTAACTGTACGTCTCATTAGACGTCTCTTTGAGAGCGATCTCTATGTTATGCAGGGGCGGAGTGATACAGTGGCTATCTACAAATTGTACAAAACGGATGTTTTAGCCTGCTCACTAAATGACACACTGGAATCTCATGGCGCTGGAACTTCCTGATGTTCAGTCTAAGTTAGGAACACATTTAGAGAGAGGAAACCGAGTCTTCCTGTTTCAAACTGCAAAGACACAGTGAAAGATAACCCTGAGGCAGCTCGCTTTTTGGACTCATCTGTAAGATTAAGCTGTGATAATTCAGAAGTAAAACCAGGGCTTGCATAAAAAATAAGGTTCATACGTAAATATTTGCTGTCATAATGAGCTGTTCTGAGTTAAAAAACCTCTTTCTGCAGATTTTATTATTAGCTGTTTTTACCGATTTAAAATATATATTTATTTGCCTTTAGGTATATAAAGGTTAATGTAAAAACTGTCTAATGCAGCACCAATAATGTCTAGCCGGTCATGAGACGACTCTCATTTTTATCACTTCCTTTTCCTTCCAGTGCACATTTAAGGGAGGAGTCTTTGTAGAGCTATCTATAGAACCGCTGACTTTTACTTAAATATGCCTATTTTTTTTGTCTTAGCTAACCGTTTATAATTAACCTTTTAGCTGAATGTTAACAGTATGTTGCAATGCCCAAAGCTTTAAAATTATGCAAAGTAAAAGGAGATACTGAAGGTTCTCCTTTATCTCTGCAATCTATAATTAAGTAAAGCCATCCATCCTTTGCCGAGTTCCCTGCTAACCCTGATTTCCCCAAATCCATTGGAACATTTAATTACTCTCATCCTCTTTAATCAATTCCAGGCAGTCCATTATGTGTAAAATATTCTACCTTTAATATTCTCACATTTCTTGCTTTTGCTGAGCACCTCCTTTGCCCTTTGAACTGCCGTCCCCCTGCTAGCAGCAGCAACGATAATGCAACCAATAAACACAGAGGGGTGTCAACTTTTTAACCACATACAGATGGAATAAAACTTTTAGAAAATGGACACCCACTTTCTAAGAGAGCCCTGGGAAACACCACATGTTGCCCATAAAATGACCACTGACCACAAGTGACTTTAAACTGGAAAAACGAAAACTTTAGTAAGAAAATTTCACAGATCAGGAATGCTTAAAAGCAAAAGTATCGTCATCCTACCAGGGCTGGATTGTGGGGTAAATTATTTACCAAGGTAATTTTTGATTTTGCTGTGGTTTAATCCTGACGCAGTTAAAAATTAAAGAGTCTTGAATAAGAATCCCAAGAAAACCTTCCTGGCTCCTGAAAAAGGTTTCTTGAAATAGAAATGTTCTCTTCCCACCCCTCTACAGCAACTATCAATCTAAATTATAAATTATTTTTTCACATTGGCCAGTCCTACTCAGATCATTGTAAAAGTGGAACACAGACTAGTTCTAGTCTGGATTACATCTTTTCATTATTTATTTTTATTTTACGACTGTAGTGTTATGTTTTTTGTTTGTTCATCGTGTTACGTTTTTATCGCGAGATGCACTTTGAACTGCCTACTTGTTGAAATGTACCTTTCAGATAAACTTGCCTAGAAACTTGACTGATGTATCACAAAACCTCTGCCTACTTTCTATTGCACATTAGGGCTTTTCATATGTTGGATAAATGTAACTAAAAAGGCAAATGTTGCTTTGTGGAACAGGTTCAGTAACATTAATATCATTGACTCATGAGCTTGTTAGTTCCTGTTGAGTTTATCGTTTTGTTTCAGGGCAAATAAAATCTTTCACTTCTTCCCATGTAGCACATGCAGAAAGACTTTGCATGTTTTAAAGTGCCTGTTTTAGGGAAAACATTATTATTGATGATGATGTTGCAGTTACATTTTTATCTCTTGCTGGCTTCAAAGATTTCTCTCTATAGGTCAAAAATTTGAAGAACTACCTTTTGCTGCAATTACAGACGAGTCTTTTTTTGGGGGGGGGGTATGTTAGGTTTTCATATCTAAAGGCTGAATGTTTTTTTATGAGTCATTGCAAAATAGCTCAAACTCATTTCCAATTAGATTTTGACTGGCCCATTCTAACATATCCCTCGATTTAAACCATGTCTTTGCAGCTTTGGATGAATGTTTGGGGTCATTGTCCGGTTGGTAGCTGAATCACTGCCCCAGTCTCCATTCTTTTATAAACTCTAACAGCGTTTTCTCCTTTTCTTCAGTAATTTAGTTCTATTTATCTTCTCATGAAATCTGACCAGCTTTCCTGTCCCTGCAGATGAAAAGAAGAATGTTGTGCAATTACTCTGGACACACTATCACCATTTCCTTCATACATGGTGTTTTGCATGTAGTACAAAAAGCTACACTTTGGTCTCATGCGACCAGATCACATTCTTTTGCAGGGTTATGAAAACTGTAAATGGCTTGCAACAATTTTTAAAACTGAATAATGGATTCCTTCTTGCAACTCTCTTGTAAAGGACCAACTTGTGCAGACATTCTGCAGACAGTTAAAACCAAAGTGTGTTTTTTCAAACTAATGGAGTATTTAAAAAAAAAAAAAAAAAAAAAGATCATACTAGGAATCAAAACATGTTGGTCGTAGCTTGATGATGATCTGGGAATCCAGTTTTGCCTGTACCAAAATATCCTGAAGCAGAACATCCAGCTAATAGTTTGTGAACTTAAGCTTGAACATTCATGGGTTATGCAACCAGAAGTTCATCACCGAACGTCTTGAAAAAAGTCAAAATGAAGGTGATGCGTTTTCTAGTCAAAGTACTGACTTAAATTTGACTGTGACCTTAGTAGGTCATTAACGCTCAAAAATCCTCCAACATGGCTGAGCTATTCCTCCCACTATATATGATCTGTTGTTTCAAATGCTTGATGGCAGTGAAGTTGCAAAGCCAGTTATATCAGGATTGGAAGGCTATTAGTTTTCACATATGTAACTCAGTAACTTTTATCCACTTAATAAATTAAATAACTGGAAAGCTAAAGTTTGCGATTTCTAAAGTAACCATTTTCTGTTATTAAAATATGCCTGGTGATCTGAAACATTTAGTTGTGGCTGAAAAGAAAAAAAAGAAGAAAAGACCAAACCTTATTTTATAAGACTGTTAGTAATTCAATTTAAGGAAATGTTGCATTTTTAATAAAAACATTTTTTTTTAGTTTTTATTGTTACAGTTGTACATTTCCCAACTTGTTCTCTGTTGAAAGTGTTAAACGATGCCATCTGGTGGTTAAATATATACAATGACATAATGGTCACGTCGTGTTTCTGCAGAGTAATCCAATCATTTAGAGATGAATCATCTATTCATGCATCACCAAAGTAACTCAAACATATATTTTTTTGTTAATATAGCAATAATAAAGAGAATAAATACAATGATTTATTTGATGTAACTCATGATTGTAACATATTTTTTGTCCAAATACATATGAAGCTGCATTAACCCCTTAACAGTCACATAAAAAAAAGTGCAAGCCATGAGGACACGCACGTATCCTCATGATAGTTAAGGGGTTTTAATGTTGAAGAGCATGTTCTACAGCTTCAGATAAAGAAGGAAAATATACCTTTCCATTCATAGCCTCTGGGATATAATCCTCTCCTCACTCCGTTTAATCTGTGGTGGAGTCGGCCTCAAACAACAAAAAGCCCCAACATTGCAACAATCTGTTGAAAAGTCTCATTTTGCCCTCCTACATCTTTTCTCTCTTTTTGTTTATTGCATTCTGTTAGTTTAGTTAGCATGCACAGCTCTAACACACAATGCAACAAAAAGTATATAAATAGAGTCTCAAGTGCTTCTGTGGTAAGCAGGTTGCCTTTACAGCTGCTCCACCTATCGTTTCATTCCAACAAGGTCAGGTATTCAAAGGACTTGTTTTTTAGAAAAGGAAACAACCTGAACACACTGAATAGCTTTGTCTTCTCCTTTAAAGGTGTGGGCGGAGAGTAGAGTGCAGAGTTAAGTTTCACTGACACCTCCCTCTCTAGACTCACAAACTGCAGAAGATCAGTCTTGTTGCAGTCCTGAGTGGTGCTCTCGGCTGGGATCTTAGTGCGTATGTTGTTGTATTTTTTTTTCTCCCCCGACTCTTGTGGATGTGGCTGCCATCAATGACGAACCACAACAGGACACTCTGGGAAACTTCTGCGACAGGTCTATTCCCTCTCCAAAAGTCACTGACCGCTGAAAAGGATTTAAGCCACTTGGACTTCTCTTTCCCTCATATGTCTGTGAATTTTCATAAATCAAATAAGAATTTCCATCAAGTGTGGAGATGGCAAAGTTGCACAGACTCTATGTAGTTCTACTAACAGGTAGGATTAACTATTATTCTGCTCATGTGTTAGACTAAGTGGTCAACTTTCTTCACAACTTAATTATAGTGTAGTTTAGAGACATGGAGGCATTTGTCTAGTAAAATTTGCAAATAAATAATTTTATAGATTAGTTCTTGAGACAATTTTCTGTTGACAGCTGGTTCAGTTCAAATTGAATTGAGACATTATTCTCCCACTACTAACATGTGTAAAAAGATTTGGACTTGGTTAATCATTTTAGTGAAGATCTTACAAAGCAGCACTATATTATCTGACTCCCCACTAATTATGACATTTTAAATCCTGTTGTCTGAAGTGTGAAACATTCCCCAACAAATTATTATTTATTCTGAGAGTTTATAAAATCAGGCAGTGAGAGTGACAACTTTTATGCACCTGTAAAAAGTGGAATGTGGTCTCAAATTAGCTGATGTGTCAACACAAAGCAAGTGAGCATAATAGTATCTATTGCGCTCACTTGCATGTGTGTGTGTGTGTGTGTGTGTGTGTGTGTGTGCACGTGTGTGCGTGTATGTGTGTGTTTGACTGGCTTTTTGTTTGTGTTTGTGTCTGCAGCTCTAGCACTGTGGAAACGTTGTCTGGCAGAATGGAACGCCACCGACGGGTCCTCCAACCAAACCGCATCCGTCTGTCAAGACAACTGTACAGGTAGAGACGGGACAATCCCTCTCTGATGTCACAAAGAGCATTAAGGTGTAATTGACACAATCATCAAAGCAGACACTGAACTGGTCAAAGCAGTCTAGGTAAATAGTGGCAGTCATCTGTGACGGGATTATGGGCTTTGAAAGCCGCGAAGGCTTTGACGTTCCCCTTCTTAGCTGTTCACCTTTGGCAACTTTGTTTGCAATGAAAATGGGAGATGAAATGACTCATTTTCAACAGAAGGTACAGGAATTTGCTGCCGGATCTGTGAATGAGAACACTCCCAAAATTGAGTGTGTTCAATTTGGAAAATGAACTGATTGTGGCAGTGCTAAAGAATACTAGCAATACAAGTCAATAACGACACGTTTGTTTCTACTGTGTGTAATCGAATCCATAAAAAAAAAAAGGTTGTGCATAATTAAAAACTGGATAGTTCAGATGCCACTGCTTTAATGACGCAGAATCTGTCAGACTTGCCACTAAACATTTCCTACTTCTAGGAAGCGCTAAGATACTCTTGTTAAATAAATAAACTAATGGTAGATAAATCTACTCTAGTATGGAAGGTCTAACAGTGAATGAATGAATGAATGAATGAATGAATGAATGAATGAATGAATGAATGAATGAATACTGTCCAAGTGCTTTATACTTCACTAAAGGCTGTCCAACAGTTAAAAATAAATAATAATAATAATAATAATAATAATAATAATAATAATAATAATAATAATAATAAAACATTACAGTTACAGTGACCTGAAATAAATATATAAAACATAAACAATAACATCTAAAATAAAAATACAATTACATTATCAAAAGCCACATGACAGAACTTACCAGAAGTATCATAAAATTAGAATAAATAAACAAAAAGAAAATCGATAAATGGCAAGAAAGATATTGTTGACATTGTTTTGACCGAGAAATTAACATCTGGATGTGAAAGATGAAACTGTCCAAGCCATCTCTGCTTAAACACTTTTTGAAATGAGATGCAAAAATCCACAACTTGGTCCCGACAGACGATGTGATTGTGGCCTCTTGGTTAGTTTTGTAGTTGCCAATGTGTGGGAAATTCAATAACGGGTAAGGAATGCAGCATGCTTCACTTGGTTTTCACAGCAGCATTTTTGTTATAATTAGGTGATGTACTACAAAGTTACAAAGTTATTGTTATGATTATTATTTTTATTTTTCAGTTTTATAACCCAGACGATGCAAACTATTTGCTCCTCTGCTTTAACTGCCACCAAATGTGAAGGTTGCTTTTAGCTGGTCATGTTGGCTAACCATCAATAAGACTGCCAACACATTTATCTTCATGACCTCTGGGGTCATGTCTGCTAGCGTGTTCTCAAGTTTCAGCTAACAATTAGACCGCACTCACTGATGTCACCTGGAGGGCAGTATCCTTTCACGAGCTCTCTCTCTCTCTTTTCTTTTTTTTTTATTTGTTTTGAGGGACAAATTCACTAGAGCAGGTTGTAAAGATAGCGGCGGCTTTTCAAGAAGTGCAACGTGAAAACTGGTGGTCAGAAGTTCAGCAGCTGTTCCAGGGCACATTAGTTAGCAAGCTAAATAAAAACCTGTGTGTGGGGACATAGTTGAGAGAATGGGAATTCCAACTTTCATGTTTAATTTAGCGGAGAATTACACCGATGAAGCTGTGTGCATAATGAGTCTTTTACGACACCGGTGCCTTAGCGGATTTGAATAGCGTTCCTCTCTGGACCGGATCGTTTTGCAAACAGTCTATTAATAAATTAGGTCATGGCAGAGGGTGAGAATTGACGTCATAGTGGCAAGCTGACAAACCGTGACAAAGCTCCAGAAATAAAATAGATGTTGCACTTTTATTTGCACGTGATTAAAACTGGATATGTCGAATTAGAAATTACTCAAATATGTTCAAAGCAGCCTCCCATTTTAAATATTTGTACATTTCTGCAAAAGCAATCCTCATGCTGACGCTTTCAAATGGTTCAATCTTGTGCTAGTTACTTTAACAATGAAAGCATTTTCCTGATCTTACACTAAAAAAAGGAAGCCTCAAAGAACAGGGATTAAAAGAACTTTAAACTGTTGTGAAATCAATCAACTAATAGTCAGAAGCATAAAAATTACATTAAACTAAAAATTGTTTGTAAATCTCAGGTTTTGTGTAGTATATTCAACAAAATACAGGTTCCGTTTCAATACAAGTGTCATGCACTTAGCTGAGAAGTTTTAACAGTCATTTTAACCAAGAAAAATAATAAAAAAATAATAACAATTGAGATCTTATCAGTGACATTTAAAAGTGCTTAAAAACATTGCTAATGCAGATGAGAGTTGAAATCAAATAAAAGCGATTTGTAACTGGTAAGCTACAGATGCAGTCCTTTTAAGATAATTTATATTTCATTAGTAGGTTGGAGAATTTGTTTTAGTAACAATGAGAACAATGAATTTACTAAGAGGTCATGTAATTTCATTTCTCCAGCAGAGAAAGATACAGAACAATCGAATGGCCACTTCTCAGAATGTCCTGAGGAGCTGCTTTATTACTGCATCCACGGAGAGTGTCGTTACATTAAGGAACAAAAGGCAACATCCTGCAGGTGAGAAATAGTTCTACAAAATGTTAATAAATATAAATGTTAAAAAAACAAAACAGATTAGACAATGAAGTTTAGCTTTGTTGAGAATCCAGAAAAAACAAACATGGGAATTTTATCAGAAATATGTGGTCAGATAATATTTATATTTAGAACCGTATGAACAGTGACAAAAGAAGAAGAAAATAGAAAAATTAAACATTTAAACCTTCATTTTTTCCCTGTCTAAGGTGTTACGTCAATTACCACGGTCACAGGTGTGAATATGTGACGTTGGACCTGCAAATTGGTCGCAGAGAACAAATCATAATAGGCTGCGCCATTGCAGTGCTTCTGCTGTTGATGATCCTCGTTATTTCCATCTGCATCTGTTCACAGTAAGATAAAATAGTTTCTAACAATATGGGTACATTTTTCTTAAAGGAACAGTTTGGCCTTCATAGACCTAGTTGTCAACCATGATTATTCTTTTCAATCAGTGCTTTATGGGGTTTAAAAATATGTTTTCACTGCCTCCCGCCTTCCTGCAGCAACACATCTGCGTTGATGTGTTCAGAGAACAATCATATAAACCTGAGTTTTTAAAAGCAGCCTCTCCGGCCACTGCTTCTAACTCACTACAGGGGAATCTCTTGACAGCTTTGCACCTGAGTGACACAGCAGGTCTGATATGATTACAAAATCAATCACTGACCTTTAGCCCTAGGCCGACTGGGACCAAGTGCACTTGTGAACAATGTTGTCTTGAACATGGAGTTTGTTGTGGATCCAGCCCACGATTAGCACAGACGTCCAACAAAAACCCACCTTTCTAATTTCAAGCGTTTCCACACCAAACTCTCACCCAGCTTCCGTGGGACCAAAACCCGAAGCTCCTCCACACAGGCAGTGGATAAGAGCAGAAACCCCGGACAACACAGGCGATGAGATCATGGAGGGATTTTGTAAAAATATATATATTGGCAAAAATAACCTCCTATGAGATTTGTAAAATCATTAAGACACTATCTTTCTAGGACTCAATATTTGTCTCTGTTCACATGTTTTTTTGTTTTCAGAACTGTTGCCTATAAAGTTTCTCAAAACTAAAATCACAGTTTATAAATTAGGTGGAGTGAGTGAATGGATTATTGGAAGCCAGACTTATTTTTATTGGACTGAAAGTCCTATTGACCTTTATTCCAGGTTGAAAGATTACTATGACCTAACTAAAAAGTTCAGACACATGGATGAATGAATTAAACCACCAGGAAACTGCTTACACAGTATTTAAGTCCAGATTTTGACTCAGCAAATGTATAATTTTATTTTATTTTTCATCAAATATTATCAGACTTTTTTAAATACATTTATTTTTTTTATTCATAGTGAAACAGGGTTCCTCCTATAGGCAGTTAAAGGAAAAGCTACACCACACACATTATGTGCAAAAATGAATATACATGAGTACAGCAAAGACACCAATTGAGCAGCAACAAAGTAAAATGTTATTAAAAAAGAAACAAAAACCAAATAGAAAAGTCAAACAGTTCTGCTACACAACACAGACAAGATAAAAACAATTAAACTAAATGTAGTTAGTAAAGCAAATGAAAATAAGCGAAGCTGAGTACGAAGAGAAATGCATTTATTCAATATATTATAATGGACTGCTAAGCAGCCTATCTGCTGTGAGAATGAAACTGTTCTGAAAGAAATTGAAGTGTAAAGTTTTTGATTTGATACATCTGAAACATTCGTCAGGAGTTGAGAAAACAGGGGTATCTGCCTAAATGTCAGGCCACACAAGACGGTGGCAAGAAGAACGCCATCGTAAAAAGAAAGCTACAATAAGTCCTGTTTAGAGAATGAAACTTACCGAGGTACATGCTAAACAGTGTGCAAATGAATAATAAAACTGCACATCACCTGAACACATTATTTCCACCACAACATTTAGTGATAGCAGAATCATGCTGTGGGGATTATTTTATTCAACGGGGAGATGGAGGGAAGTAAATATGGTATAATCCCGGAAGAAAAGCTGCGAGTGGCTGAAAAATACTTGAGTTGTGGTGGTACAGCAACCTTGGATGTACAGTCAGAACCACAAAGCAATGGTTCAGAGCAAAGGGCGTTCATGAGTTAGAATGGCCTAGTTAAAGTCCATCGAAACTCTATAGCAAGTGAAATTCATAGATGTTCAAGCTGAGATTTAACTACTTTTGCAAAGACAAATGAGCAAAAAAAAAAGTGTCTAACTGTCCAAAGCTGATAAAGAGATATCCAAAAGGATGTAACTGTTGCAAAATGTTTGAAATGCTCATTATGATAAATAATAGTGAGTATGTATCATATATATAAATGTATGCATATTTATTTATGCATATTTATTTATGCATATTTTTAAAACAATATATAAATGTATATATTCTGATCCCACTTTTGCAACAAAGCAGTTTTAGCCAAGCTGTTCCTTTAACGTCTTACTGCAGAGGCTGAACATATTTGGTTTTGGCTTTGCAGTCATTTGTTGCCTTCCACATGCGGTATGTGCCATAGTTCTGTTGTTTTCAGTCGCAGGTGCAGATTGTGGGGACGGAGGAGAAGACAGACGGAGGAGCTGAGAAACGGAACAGGGAAACGCATCATGCCGGACTCGAGTCCATCACACTCAACAGAGCTGACACCTATCAACTCAGTATGAAGACTCTGTCAGAGACGCCTTTAGGCATCACATGTTTACGCACGGGGTCGCTTCTGGCTGCAGGCTCACAGTAAATGCAGGAGGCCTCTGGTGGACCCTGGTCAGCATCGAGGCCGACGAGGAACACCGCTTCACAGAAAAATATGTCAACCTGTGACAGAAGCTCAGAAGCTTCCTCTTGTCCTTCTGGAGACCTGCTGTGTTTGGAACATTAAACAGGCTTTTGGAAACAAACAAACAAACAAACAAACAAAAAACCAAGAAGAAGATGCCCTCCTGGATTTATGATAAATATGAACTGGGGAAGAGTGTTCAGCTGCCTGGGTGCTGGAAAGGAGGCTTTTGTTTTAAAAGTTGTGGAGCAACAGACATGGCCTTTCGCCGAGTGCTGCTGACCACGCAGCACTAAATAAATTGTTGCTATGTTGGAAAAAGCTGCGAAGCCAGCTGGCAGCCAATGGTAACACTCCGTCAGGTTGGCATCTACACTGTGAGATGAGAGGAAAGCTACTGTCCTTTTAGGGAAACTGAGCTACAGAGATCAACCTTTATACAGATTGTAACACAGCTGCAGCAGCAGGCTTGTTTACTGCTTGACTAGCTTTTATGTGCCACATAATGATCAGTTATCACTTTCAACTTATCACTGCAGAGCCACGTCTCCACGTATGATCGCAGACGATATTGTTACTCGTGTGCATGACCAAATTCAAGAAGAGGCCCGTTAAGGTCGGAGCTACGTTAACCACACGGTTCAAAAAGGACAAGCAGATCTTGTGCTGGAGGCCCTTTTTTTTTATCTGTATGTTTAGAGCTGAGCAGCCTGGAGGCTACAGAACAGAACAGCTGAGTCTGTGTGCGAGGGCTGACAGAGCTGCTCTGTTTCACAGCTGCCAAACTTTCACTGAGATTTCAGAATGTAACCATGTAGTCATAAACTCAGACTCAGATAAATCTGGCTCTGAGTTTTATATCCATAAACATGCTGTTGCTTACTTTACTTTTACTGAAAAATGTATATGTTTATATATATGCAGATGCTTTGTCCTCAGTTTGTCTAAGAAAATATTTCTGCAAAGCAAAAAGACGATAGTTCACATTTCTGGAGAATCCTTTTATAGCAATTTTCAAGAAATATAAATAAATAAATGAATAATAATAATAATAATAATAATAATAATAATAATAATAATAATAATAATAATAATAATAATAATAATAATAATAATAAGAATAATAATAATAATAAGAAGAATAAGAATAAGAATAAGAATACATTCTCACAGCTCTGCTGATAACAACAATACAGATCCCCAATCAACAAAAAGACAAATAATTTCATTTACAACTGGTTTGTTCATCTACCTGATCATTAGACCATGGGAAAAATTAAGAGATCAGTTAAAATGATCAGTTTCTGTGGTTTTACTTTTTATAGGTATATGTTTGAGTAAAATGAACATTGTTCTTCTATTCTATGAACTATTGTGACAACATGTCTTCCAAATTCAAGGCAAAAATTGTAGCATTTATTTGCAGAAAATGAGAAATGGTCAACATAGCAAAAAAAAAAAAAGGAAAAAAAAGATGCTTTCAGACCTCAAATAATGCAAAAGAAACAAGTTCATGTTCACTTAGAAACAACAATACTGATGTTTTAACTCAGGAAGAGTTCAGAAATCAGTATTTGGTTTAATAACCATGAGGTTTTCAGTGGTGTTCAGTGCAGTGGTCTCCTATTTTTTCCAGACCTGTACGTCTTCACATATCACAATGTCTTCATTTCCTGTAGGTTGCTATAATAATTATGTTAATAATTAATATAATACCCAATTGGCTAGTGATGGAAACAAATCAGACACACAGAGAAGCCATCAGTGTTTATAGTTTTACAGTATTGTGTTGCCATGGTGCGGTAACACAGGCTAGATTCGACACTACACCAGCGAATGTGACTTTTTATGGTCCTCTGTCATACCTGCCTTCACCCAGAAGCCGCTAAAGACTAAACTATAACAGTACCACCTCTGCTGTGAATTGAAAGAAGTCAACTCACATGTTCCTCTTTGTTTTCAAGAGTTCAGCCACGTGTTTCATCTCAGCTGCTGTATTATTCTGTATTACCAAGGCGGTAATATTTCTTTAAATGTCTATTTTAGTCTCATGAAACATTTTTTGGCTGATTTTGTGCTATCTTTTCTTTTTTTCTCTCTCTCTCTCTCTTTGCACATTTAGAGTGACATTTAATCAACCCGTGCCTAAAAAATCCACAGCAATGTTCATCATTAACTTGGAATGTTTTACTGCTGCATCAGTGAAACTGTCTCTAAAACAGTGACATCTGTGGTATGCTGCAGTTTCTATGAGGGGCGTGTCAGCGGAAAACAAAACTGATAAGAGAGATAACATTGAAATTGATGTAGATGTTTGATCAAGACCTGTGATGGACAGACAGCCTACCCACAGGGTGTATCCTGCCCTTCATTCATCATGTGACTGCTGACATAGACCAGAGTACCCTTCACCAAGCAGGTTTATATTGGACTAGATAAAAAAAAAAAAATTCTCAAACAATCCAGGCATGTTTAGTTTCAGTGTGCTTGCAAATGTGACTTCAGGATCATCTGAAAGCAGTTTTCACCCTGAATGGCAACGACTCCACCTGTTCTCTCCTGGCACCACGCTGCTCTGCTCTGACAGCTGTGCAGAGCCTAACAAATAGTTGAGAGATAAGTCAGCACAGGGACGGCTTCATATCGCAGATCAGCGCTGGAAATGAATGCAGTGACTCATAGAGGGAGAATTATAAACCGTTCTAGTTTGTTTGTAGTTTGCATAGAGGCCACTGGAGGTCAGCAGTCTACCGCAGCCTTTCAAAGGTCTCAGCACTGACGGTGTTTCAAAAGTTCCCTTCTGAAGTATGAGTTTACATGAATAAACTATTTTTCTTTTTTTTTTTTACTTAAACACGTTGAACTTTATCGCACAAAAACACTTCTTTCAACTTATACTTTTATAAACTTAACACAAAATTGCCCAAATTAATCTCGTAGGGGAGAATATTTTATTTTATGCAAAGATGTATTTCAGTCATCTATTGTTACAATCTTAAAATACACAACATAAAATCAGTCCTTCAAAGGTTCCTATATTATAAAGAAACCTTTGAAAGAAATCGTTAAAGATGGAGTTCTTCTTTTCCATATAGAGCTCTTGAAATGCCCGACACTTCTTCTTTTACCCTCTGCTTGCTCACTTTCCTTAGTTTCAAGGAGCAAACAACAGTAACAGGATTTGGGAACATGTCTTGGGAAAGAGCAAAGGAGCCCAGGAAGTCTGGCTGCTCAGAAGAAAAACATGACAAAACTGAAGATAATCCTGGACTTTTTAACTATACAGTGTTTTGAGCAAACACTTTACTGAACACAACATCAAAACACATTAACGAAGGGAATGGTTTCTTTGGTATAGTTGACTAGAACGTGAAATGTTAAAACCAGTGTTTTTCTGCTGAACCCATCCTTCCCATTGTCATACGCAGTTCAATTTTAACAGGACGTCTGCTATTCATTTCCATTTGTCGATGGGGGGGTCCTCCTGTGACTATGTGTTCCTGATTACTGTTTAAATAACTATTTAGTTTCCCATAAGTGTTTTTTTTCTCATATAGAAGCTGCAGTGAGCTTTTGATGTATGAGTCATTACCTCTCCTAATTTGTATATTTGCATCCAGGGCAATAGCGATGGTTTTGATATTGCTTTTGCCAGACGTAGCCGTAGGAAGCATGACAACTTTCCTACCACCTAAATTCCTGCTTTGTGCAAAGCGGACATCTCACAGAGCTTTAAAGAAGTCTGATCTGTATTCAGTGAAGATGATGCAGCATCTATTAATCTTCCTCCTTAAATTGATCCGGCCGTCCTCCAGAGAAAGCCTTTAAAAGTTGAAGGATCAGGAAACAATTACCCTAAGAGCAGGTATCTGTGGCTGGAAGCGATGGAGGTGATACTAAAGAGATGTCTCCGGTCACAGAGCATTTCCCGGATTTCCCCCCTTCCTGGTAATCTTTGCAGACTGCTCTCGGAATAAAGGCAAAGGGCAAATGTTTGACTAAAGAACATTAGCCCGGTGACTGAGATTTTCTTTTCTTCAACTTTGATCCTTTACAAATAGAAAAAAGGATTTTGCCTTTGCTGATTTTTGTTGTTGTAATGCAAAGGATTTGGTGTCCATGGCTTTACCCTGTCTTCTCAAATGGAACTAGGAAGAATGTTGGAAAACACTTTCTATAAACATTATACAAGAACTTTAATAAACATATGGTCCAAAAAAGATGTCTCCTTTGATTACAGCTCCTATAATGTAAGTAACTTTCCAGTTTTATCCCACATAATACTGCTTTTTGCATTTATTACCATTTCTAATTGGCTTCTCAGAACCTCCAAGGACAACTTAAATCATGTTATGATAAAATAAAAAAAAAAAAGCCAGAACAACTGATGAAGCTATAAAACTCCAACACATGGTGACTTACTTGTCTTGTTTCAGTAGCATGAGTTAAAAACAGACAGGATCATCAGATCAAGCAACACCTACGTCTTAGCTAACCCAGCATGCCATCAGACATGAACAGCAGAAAATGTGTTAATAAGAAGCAGAAAACATTCCTGACAGAAATATTTTATCATGCATTTTCATTATAACGACGTGGGGTTGTTCCAAGAGATTTAAAGTAAACATAAAAAAATCATAATAAGTAATTATGTACTTAATTAAATGTTTTAGCATCTTAGCATCTCTTTATTCAACAAAATCAGTTTTTCACCAGTATTCATTTGATACCAGTTTTGACCCTTTTTCCCTCATTTGGCTTATATACAAAGATATCATTGAATCTTCTTGTTGAAACTATTTTTCCAAAGGTTTTCAACAATTCATGCTGAGAGCCGGGTTCAGGTAAAACCATAATAGAGATTGAAGCAGGCCTTTTGAAGTTGATGTTGCAACATCTAGTTGAATGCAACTATTTGACTCAAAATGTTACCCGTCCTCTTAAAGGAAATGGGATAGGAACACAGACGATGCTTAGGCTCAACTCTGTTGTAACTTGGAAACTTCTGGAAAAACAATATATTCTCCGATATCAGATCGATATCAAAATTTGCATCGTCTACATGGAAAACCCGAATGGTTCCTTAGTAAAACTTGTAAGGTCTTTGAACAAAAAGAAGATTCTGTTTGGATACAATGACAAGAACTGAGTTTCAAAGAGGCAAAGTGAGGCAAAAATTAAAAACATAGCTCCAACTGTGGAGCATTGCAAAGGCAGCATCATGCTGAAGGTCAGTTTCAAGCACAGACTAAAATTGTTAGCAGCATGGCTCCATCCTTAACACCTAAAACATGTCTATAAAAACTCTAACTATGCTCAAAAGTGAGGCCTATAAAAAAAACATGACAGATCAGGACATGTTACTGTGGAATATCATCTCTGCCACCTGGAAATTGAGCTGTTAGCAAGTCATTACAGCCATGAAACTGTCATACAGTAACAGTCTTCAGTCAGAGGCCTCTTCAGATTCAATGCGAGACTGACTGCTACCACAGATCCTGTCAGATCCTTCCTGCTCACACTGCATCCACGACGAACCTTTGAAAATACTTCAATTGTATGAGTTACGACCAAATTTAATTTCCCTTTGGAACAAGTAAAATGTTGCTGAACTGAACTGACTGATGATGATGAGTGAAAACATCTGGCTGGAACTGCAAGTCGAGTAAGAGCATGGCAGCACCTCACATTAGCACATCTCAGGAGACTACGTTGTTGATTTTGAAGTCTGTTTGAGATCATTATTTTGTTACCAGAAGCAAAAGCAACTCCCGCCCAATTAACTTTTTTTTTTTTTTTTATAGACCGTGTCATATCCTTCAAGTATTTTAACTCTGTTTGTTTTTCTTTCCTCCACCAGTGATACAGCCCAAGCTCTTCCTGCACCTCAAACTTATGCTGGGATGAGTCCTTACTTTATATTCTGCAACTTTTCTCTCATCAAACATGCTTCAACTAATTCGGAGCAAAAATAATGCATTTTCAACAACACCAGTCCATCATCCTTTGTTGTGAAACTTTAAGCCACATTCATTTTAATTTAAAATCACTGATGCTTGATTTCTAGGTTCACTCAAAAGAGGATTTTCTATAATCATTCCTGAATATTGCCTGCTGCACACCAGAAGAAACATCTTCTTGCATCTCTTGCAGAACGTTTGATTTGCTTTTCTTTCAAGCACACAGCAGTTCCCTCGGGTTTCTTGATCTGCAAAACCTAAATGTAATCCATGCTCTGTTGTAACAAGGAATTGTTTCTATTGAAAGCAGAAGCAATTGTTACCTGAAAAACGAATCCTTACCTTAAAACTAAAATTTCATTTTAGGCCTCACCGTGTTTGCAGAGCTAAATTAATTTTGGGAGAATGACTCAGTTGCTTCAGGGGGCGTCCCGGGCTGCAGTTGTTGAGGCAAGTTTTAAAAGGTGTCAGAGTGTATTGAAGCTGTAGGACATCCATCATCTGGCATTTACTAAGGATTTAGCCTTAGAAAATTAGTTAAGGACAGAGACATTGATAAAAACTTAATTTTTTTTGGTGCTCACAGGGCTCTATGTTTTTACCACCAAAAAGTGTTCAGAAGAGAAAGATTTTGGTTAGAGTTTTAAAACCCTGCACAAAGTTACATTGAGGTTTGTGTCTAGCATTTTCTCTGTTACTTCATTGTCTGGCCTTCTAGGAAGCTTCTGTCAAATAATCTATATCCTGCTATTCTAGCATGCCAATCCTTTGTGAGAACTCCTCATGTTTTTATGATACTGCAAACATCATTTTTGGTCTGATATTGGTTTCTAAGTAAAGAAGTAGCTGAGAAAAGCAGAGACGTGAGTCATAATCTTGGATGTATAAGTATCCAGAAAGAGACAAAAGGTGAAGCATATGGCTGCACAGACCTGGTTAATGTTAAATTAGAGCAAAGTCTTTATGTTAAAAGCTTCCATTGAATCAACAACTTATTAAATGGCTTTAGAAGTGTCTGAAAGTACAACATACAGAGGGATAAAAAAGTATTTTCTTTCGTGTTAGATGAAAATGAAGAGTCGGATTCTTGTTTGTTGCTTTCTTCTTAATAAAAAGTTATATGCAGCCCAGTTGTGCAAACATATTCATACACATTTAACCTTTTCAATTGTTGCATGCTACAACCATAATGTTCAATGTATTCATGTCATAGACGTAGCAACACAAGTCTCTGGATGTGCAAAGCTGGATCGGTTTATGCCCCAAATGATTTACACTTATAACTGGAGAGAAATGTTCCAATTCAGTGTGGCTTAGAACAAAAGCACAAAACAGATTTTAGATTTATTTAAAAAAAAAAAAACATGCAAAAAGTGAATACTATTTTCAGACACTGTGAGTGACTTCAATAGGTTGTGAAATCTGAGGATGAAGTGAATAAACATTCAAATTGATTTCTTTGGATGCTTTCAAACAAAATTGAACAAATCAACTTATTTCTGTCTTGCTGTCTACAGGCAGACCCATCATTTCATTTGGTATCTAGTTCAGGGTCAAAGAAACGACAAGAGGAAGGGCACACACTCGAGAGGATAGGGAAAACACAAAAACACACATGAGAAACACACTCTTGGAAGTGCTTGGACAGAAGGAAAGGAGGTGGAAAAAGTGTTGAACAGTGAAGAGTCACCCCCAAAACATTCTTTCTGTCAGACACCACACCCTCCATGCTAACCCAGAGAGATCCACGACATATACTGAGCAGAATGTCAATGGAAATTATGGCTTTTTGGAACTTGTCTTTAAATGTTCAGAAAGTTTTTAGTTCAGGGTTGCTTCGTAGGAAAAAAAAAAAAAAAAAAAAACTTGCTTAAATGTGGACCATCTGTGCTCTTCTGAGGTGGAGGACTTTCACTTCCAAATTATCCCCTGAAGTGTGTTAAAGAGTTGCAGCACTGAGCTGTATCAGTCTGTGCCACTGACTTTAGCAGACACTGTAATGCCTTAAGCCCGGGTTATCAGAGACCGCGCAGGAGAAAGATTAAGGCCAGGCTGTCGCCACAACTGTGTCCCACAGCAAATTTTCAGACAAAATGAGGACGATTGTGTTTTGGCTGATGGATGTGCACTGTGCATTTTTATTGTGAAAGAAATGGAAGACCAAATGATGTTTTCAGATAGTTTCATAAACTGAGAGTCAGGAAAATGTCACCTAAAACCCTCAAATTCATTACTATCAGTCAGCATTAAAACGAAGCGCAAGACTCAGTCAGGAAAGCTATATGCACAGATTACATGACAACGATATTCGTCAGAAAGCTTCATATATATATATATATATATATATATATATATATATATATATATATATATATATATATATATATATATATATATATATATATATATATATATATATGTCCCATCGTTCTAACGATTGGGCAAAAGATCAAAGTTCAGTACGAGCAACTTTTGCTCATGCATATGCAGTCACATCTGCTCAACATCCACTAGTGCCAAACTGTGAATTGTTTAATGAAAGAAAACTTTGTCAGAGTTTATCTACAGACTCCAGAAAGCTGGACTTACAGACACCAGTGTATGTGCGAGTCTCACATTTATCTCCACAGATGTTCCTTTTGTGTCATCAGAAGTCGCCCACTCCATTAGACTTTCTGGAGAAGGATCGTGTTTTCATCAGCTATAGGTCATCACATTTCAGCCTCTTTATCTGTTGCTATGCTGCATGAGAAATCTTACATTAATTTTTCTTTAATATAAAACACAGAAATAAATTGTCAGTGTCCAAGTGGTGTGCTTTTTTATTTTGTCTCAGAAGACAAATATCAGTCATGCCAATCTCGCTGAGCTTTTCTATAAATCCTAGAGAAATCCCAGATGGGACTAATCAATGCTATTGATGCAGGACATGCTAAATTAAAAAAAAAAAAAAAAAGCCCAATCCACCAATGGTGATCTAAAACTCAAGTCTTTACTGCCCAAACAACTGCCATGTTGGTTTGGTTTGAGATCATCATCTGGGCAACAATTATGGCTGCCAAAGAGACTTTTGAACAGCTTATTGATGAAGCTGAATGAATGAAAGTTTCTTCCAGGAACACAGGCGAAATCCAGGACAACACTGAGTAGGGCAGGTATGCTGCAAGTATAAGAAGTAGAATATGGCTCAGAGATTATTTAAATTATGGATGATGCAGTTGGGTTACTGTTTGAGAGTGCTGGAGTTCCAAGGGGGCAAAGGCGACTATACCCACAAAGGCTGAGATCCACAGGTGGTGCTTGTGGGTAATGATTTGTTTGTTCTTTCTTCCAGGAGGAGATGCGAGAGAGAGGTGGTGGAGCACCGGAGGGTGGACAGGCCAGCAAGTAATGGTGGATTATTGGTGAGGGGTCCTGACATAAAGAAGCAGAGGAACAGGCAAGGAGATTCACGGAGATAGAGTAAACGAAAATTGAACTCAAGTAAGAGCAGCACTTCATGACATGTATAAGTATATTGAGTACTGCCGATGTATGGAAAGTATAGAATAAAACTTTTTAGCAACCTTTGCTCTAGTAGATAGAAAAGATGGGGAGGAAAGAGAAAAGAAAGACATGCAGCAAGTGGTCCGAGACTGGGAATCGAACCCACAACAACTGCATCGACCAGTCATACATGTTTATAAATGTCAATATTTACATATTTTGACATGCAAATATGGCAATTTGATTAAATTCTCATGCGTCATTACTTTCCTGCAAAAGCACGGGCCTCTGACTAAAAACCATCTGGCTTACGTCTGGTAAGCCAGACGGCTTACTAGACGTAAGCCATCTGGTGGCTTGGTCTATCAGTCTATCAACCTTTTGACCAAAGGCTGTCCTTTGGTCAAAAGGACTGCCTATTTTTGTAAACAAAAATAAACTTGCGCGTATTGATTAACTTCTCTTCTTTGGAAGAGGGTGGAGGCCTCCACCTCTCTAAACAACAAACGCAGCGGCTTCCATCAAAGATCACGTGTACTGCAAAAAAAAAAAAAAAAAAAAACAAAGCAGGGAGGGGCCAAAAACAAAGAAAACAGAACATCAGACATGAGTACATGACTCCTTCACAGACATTTTGCTGAGCTATAGGAGTTCCCCATTAAAATCTAAAGGATGACACAAATATGTTAAATAAAAAGTAAGATTTATTTTTCTTTCAAGCAGTTCAGGCATACAATCAAAAAACGTCAAAAGTTTCTGCAATCAAGCGCACCTTCTACTTACATTATATAACTGCATGTGCTTCTGTCCGCCTCTTCTTACCTCTGTGTATGTCAGAGAAAGAGAGAGAGGGATAGAGAGAGAGAAAAAAAGAGATGAGGGGGGAGGGAGGATTTCTATTTAAAAGCCAGTGAAATTTCAGCAGTAGCTACTAAATTATCTGAAAAATGCCTTGCCGTGATAACCTTCGATTCTCTGACATATTTATTAGCATGAGATGAAATTTAGGCGGGAGTTGGCTCCCTTGTGTCTCTTAATCAGCACCAAGGACAGCACCAAGTTGCGCCGGAGCGCTGCGTCAGGTCACCTTTTCATAACTGAAGGCTTAGAAAATCTCAGAGCAACAAACACAAGCTGATCCTCAGAACAAGCTCAACAATCTGACAAGAAGCTCTTATTCATTCATTTATTTATTTTCACCTGTTTGTAATTTCATCATTTTAGAGTTTAGACATGTAGCCAGCATGACGCTCACGCCGAGGACTTTATCGTTTCCCAAGTCACGAAGTTGGATCAGAGAATGACTTTACTGAAGATTTTCGGGAATAAAAAAATAAAATGTCTGGGGAATTGACGGACATCAACGGTGAGGTCGGGACTGCTCACGCTGCCTCCGCCAACTTCAGCTGCGTTTCCAATACTTCGAACTGCTCGCGCGCGGACTTCCACATGTCGGACTTCGCTAAAACCGATTTCGTCGGAGACGGCGCCGCTTTTGTCAGGATTACAATCTCTGTGATCTACTCTCTGGTGTGCGCGCTGGGTCTGGTCGGGAACTTGCTGGTTTTGTACCTGATGAAGTCCAAACAGGTGTGGAAGAAATCCTCCATCAACCTGTTCGTAACTAGTTTGGCGGTGACCGACTTCCAGTTCGTTCTGACTTTGCCTTTCTGGGCCGTGGAGAACGCGCTGGACTTCACATGGCCCTTCGGCAAAGCCATGTGTAAGATAGTTTCCTACGTGACGGCGATGAACATGTACGCCAGCGTGTTTTTCCTCACGGCCATGAGTGTGGCGAGGTATTGCTCCCTCGCCTCGGCGCTAAAAGGCAGGCGGCGGCGCACGCGCTGCTGCTCGGCGCGGTGCGTCTCCGTCTTCATCTGGTTCGCCGCCGTCTCCGCCGCCCTGCCGCACGCGGTTTACTCCACCACCGCCACCGTATCCAACGAGGACCTGTGCCTGGTGAAATTCCCGGAGACGAACGGGTCAGCGCAATTTTGGCTCGGACTCTATCACTCCCAGAAAGTGCTGGTGGGCTTCCTGGTGCCTCTGGGAGTCATCTCGGCGTGCTACCTGCTGCTTTTGCGCTTCATCACCTCCAAGAACATTAACACCTCCAGCGCGAAACGACGCGCCAAGGTCACGAGGTCGGTCACCATCGTGGTTTTATCCTTTTTCCTCTGCTGGCTGCCCAACCAGGCGCTCACAGCCTGGGGCATCCTCATAAAACTTAACGCTGTTCACTTCACGTATGAGTACTACACCATGCAGGTGTACGTCTTCCCCGTGTCGGTCTGCCTGGCGCACTCCAACAGCTGCCTGAACCCCATCCTGTACTGTCTGATGCGGCGGGAGTTCAGAAAAGCGCTCAAAAACCTTTTCTGGCGCATGACCTCTCCGACTGTAACCACCATCAGGCCGATCACAGCCACCACGAAGCCAGAGATGGACGAGCAGGGACACCCGCTGGTGCCGGCCAACGCGCCACCGGTGCCCGACATGGTGTTCTTTCCTCCTGGGGCGGTGATTTACAATGACCGGCGTGACCTGCCGCAAAACAGCACATAGTCTAACCACGCCAGGGATAGTTTAAGGTACGCGGGAAGCTGTTGATGTGTATGTAGTTACTGCAAAGCCAAAATGTTCCACTAAAAAGGCGAGAGGAACTCGAACAGCTGGGGTCAGTTTTGGATACTGGCCACATGGCTCTCCACCCAGAGGTGTATACCCTTGGGGGCAGCAAAATTAACTCTTGAGGATGTTCTTGCATCACTGGCACATCCGTACTCACAAGTACCACAGTTAATAAATCAATGCTTTTACAGAGGACTATATCTCAAAATATAATTTCAAAAGTCTCTGTTCATCGTAGAACTTTGATCATTCTGTGTCTTAGATTTGAACAAGAGGAATGAACAGCATTTCATATGTGTCTGCTATGATATGTGTGTTATTGTCTTATGTTTGTTTGTTTGTTTTGATATGTAAAAAATAAGTAAAAAAGAAAAAAAAAACAAAGAGTTAAATGTGAAAGTAAAGTGCATCATCAGCATGTGGCAGAATTGCTTTCACTTTTCCTACTGATATTTATTATTGAACACTATTATGTAAAAATGAATCAACTGATTGTCACAATTTGAGGATGAAGAAAGCCATAATGGAGGACTGGTATTAGTTAACACTGAAGAAAAGAAACAAAAACAAAACAAAACAAAATAAAACATGGATAGCCTTTAAAAAGAGGCCTGGTAATTTCCTCTGAACCGCACCACTGAAACACCCAGTCATGTGCACTTCTTTACAGGAAAATAAGGTAACAGGTTAAAAACAAAAATTAAAATTAAAAACCCAAAACCATTTAGTGCCTGAAAGAAAACTCCCAAAACTTTCAAATCTATTCTTTTGTAAATGGAGAAGGAACGCAGTAATTTAAGATCTGGTGTTCATCTCATAAAAACAGGCATTCCTATGAAGCTCCTTTGTCAAATTAAAATTACCTTTTGGGAAATAAATTGATCTAATACTTTTCATTTTTTCAACGTTTCAGTAATAAAATGTTTTTTTTAATTTTTTTTTATTGGTCGGATGTAATATTCCAATCTTGTAAGAAATTAAATGTGTTTTTGTAACCTTTAAGCGTAAAATCGTTGTAGTTATTAGAAATAAAGTCTTAAAAGTATCAGTCTGTGTGTAATTCCTCTATGTGAAGTGAATTACATAGAGGAATCACTTAATTCACTAAGTGAAGAAACTTAATTCACTTAGTGAATTAAGTTTCTGAAATAGAGAAACTTTTCAATAATATTGTAATTTTTTGAGGTGGACCTGTAGAATGAAACATTTTGTTGACTTCAGGCAGGACTCTGGCAACATTTTGGATCAGCTGCAGAAAGCATTGCAATAATTTATCCTATCCAAAATAAAATGATGTGACAAAAAACATCACGGTAAATGGTACAGTAAATGGCTTTTATAGCACTTAATCAAGTCCAGAGGACTCCAAAGCACTTCACAGAAGTTTTTCAGATAAAGGAAAAAGTATTAAAAAACAAAACATTCATATTATTTTCTGAACATAAGGGTACTTACTTTTGAATTATGATGAGGTAACATGCAGCTCGTGAAATAATCTACTTTGAATCCAGAAGTACTTTACAGTAGATCTTGTTTATTCTCGTCCATTCATCAAAAAGGGATTGGTGTCTCTTAATAAACCGCAGGCAGCCTGTTCACCACCGACAAAATGCTTTGCTCCAGATGCCAGTTTTCCACATTAGTGAAATACACACAAATCCTTGAACGCATTTATGTTCTCCGTTAGGGGACAGTAATGGACCATTTCACTGTTCATATTCGACAGAAACCCCCATCCATCCATCCATCCATCCATCCATCCATCCATCCATCCATCCATCCATCCATCCATCCATCCATCCATCCATCCATTTTCTTTACGCCCTTGTCCCTTAGTGGGGCCGGGAGGGGTGGCTGGTGCCTATCTCCAGCTAACATTTCAGGCGAGAGGCGGGGTACACCCTGGACAGGTCGCCAGTCTGTCGCAGGGCAACACAGAGACACACAGGTCAAACAACCATGCACACACACACTCACCGCCCAGACTCAGCGTTGCTCAATTTTAAAAGTAAAACTCATTTTAAAAGTGAAACTCATTTTATTTTTGTTCTTCTCCTGCTGTGAGTAGTTTGTACGCCAAAACAATCAAAGCACAAAATAGAAATAAAAAATCTCAGTAATTACTTTGCACCTAGTAGTAAACTAAACGCATCATTCATTTTAAGCAGCTGGAAGTTGAAGAGAAAAATTTGTGCAAGCTATTCTAACTTGAACTAATTGGAGTTGGAAGCTTTGATGTGGTTGTTGAATGATGCATCTTGGGTGCAAATGGGCTTAAACATACGTATTATTGTAACACAGAAAGAGCATTTCATTTGTCAGTAAAAATACCTTTGAGATCATATCAAATTACAACCACAAACTGCAACATATTTTATTAGGGTCTTATTTGACAGATCAACACAAAGTAGTTCTGCACTGTGATGTGTCAAATAAAAATATTAAAAGTGTGGCAGGCATTTGTACTTAATCCATTCACTGCAACACCCCCAAACATAATGCAGAGAAAACTGACAAAAACAGACAGAAATATTTTAGAAATGCTGGAAAATATATAAGCTTCCACCTGTGTAAAAGACTGGTGTTGATGCCATGTTCTTTTTATTTGAGATGCCCAAAAATATTTTCCATTGTATTAAAGTACAAAGGAAAATAGCAATATGTTACTATATTAATTTTTTTTCTTAATTTAAAATATCCCATAATATGGATTTCCATAGGGCTGAATAGCCATCCACAAAAACAAAGTGACCCACATTCTGCTCCTCTTCAACTAGTCTACAAAGTAGCAAATCATTAAGAAAAAATGAAAATGTACTGCAGCTCCAAATGTCTGGAGATGGAAATAACTGCACAGTGACTGCAAATGCAAAAAAAACAGAAGAAAAAAAAAAAAAGAAAAAACCTAGCAAAAATCATGAATGCAGATAATTCACAAAATGAAGAGTTTTGTTTTTCACCCCCAACTCTTCATTCACAAGGATAGATGAAGGCAGTACCCTACTAACATATTTTTGCAAAACAAATTAAGTCTTTCACTTCTTTACATTCTGCTAACACTGTATAAAACACAAGCACATTATTTAATATTGGATCTTAATTCTTACTTTTGGGGTAAGTTCGACAATGAGGAAAACATTTTCTTCTCCTCCTCCTCCTCCTCCGCTGATGATAAAGCCACCATGCCATAAACACATTATGTTCTTTCCTTTTCAGATAAAAAGCTGATGTGATTCCATTTTTACAGCTCATTTGTTAATAATAAAGACCACATGTCGCTGAACACATCTTCCTGGACAAACACAGGGAGGCTCATCAATCTGGGCTCACTTCTGAGAACACAGCTTCCAACCAGAGGGTCAATGAAATACACATTCAAACAAGCAGCAACAACAGCAGTTATTTTTATTGTCGCTCTGCATCAGAAAACCATTTGACAAACAGGATGCATGCACACATAAAAATAAAAATCACTTTAAATGCCACACACACACACACACACACACACACAAACAAAAAAGGTCTTTAAAATGCTGGTCGTTGCTACTGACTTTTGCAAAAATGTCAATAATTTGAAATGTTTATTTCAGGTCAGTTATTTTTATGTTTAACCAGGAGTCCAAACACATGGTGGCTGAGTCATAAGGCAGTGTTAAAAGCTTCCAAGAGGGTGGTTTTCTGCACAAATATACTTGGCTTTGGCTTGTTTAAGCCTCTTAGACCTGGACCTCATCCTTGTTGGAAATAAGGTTAGCCTAATCAGGATGCCAACCCAGACCAGTTAGCTGGAAACCTGAGCTTATTGAGTTGGCAGCGACCGATACAGAAGTCCGGATGGTGACTCACACCAAGCAGGTGCAGCTGAGAGACCATTTCCTTAGTTAAAGAAAACGGAGAGTGAAAAGCAACGGGAGGTTGTATCTGCTGAATCACACACAAAACGGAGAGCTGGTTTGCTATGGGGAAATGTTTATTGGAAAACTATGAGGCACAAACGAGACAGATGAGTTTGTTCATGAACACGCGGCGAGTGGAAGTCGGAGATGAGTCTTAATCGTCGATGATGACTGCAGCTGATGAACAACAGGCGACATCACAGTGAAAACCACAGCCTGAAATCAAACAGGGGAGACAGGAGGAGAAGCATGTGGTTCGGAGAATGAGCGCTCTCCAAGTCCAAACAGGCCATTTGAAGCAATTCAAACAAATCACTGCTTTTTAGGTTCCCTCTCGTCCTTTAGTTGTCTAAACAACCCTTAAATCTGAACGGTTTCTGACTCTGACAGCACGCGTCCTTTCGGGAGACGAATGTGAAAACACTTCTCCAAAATCAAACCCCACAGACCCCTAATATTACTCGGAGAACCCCAGGCATTGATTATTATGCACAAAAAAAAAGTCACAGTTGTTCATCAAAATTACACATTTTTGACATGTCCAATGAGTGTGATGACTCAAAGCTTTGAAATGACTTAAATCTAGCTCAAAACTTACAACTGTGACAGAGTAATCTGTTACCATGCAAATCGTTCCACTTCCATCCTCCGCCTGCAGCATAGGCATGGAAGTACCTACGTCTAACTCAGCGGAAAAATGTTAAAATCACTCCATGATTCACAATTGGAAATCTGAGATGGAAAGAAGAGTAAAACACGCACACACAGTCATGTGCCACAACTAAAATCAACAGTTACATTTGCTAGGAAGAGGTTTCTTATGAAGCGTAAATAAGGTTTTCATTTCTTAAGAGGGGACGGTGACCTTGTTCAGGACCCCATGCCATTTGCTACCTGCCACTAAATAGTTACTGACCCAGAGTGGCTGAACGAGTTGATGGAAAGGAAATTGGCAGACAATGTGAACTCTACGTTTCCCACCAAGCTTGTCTCATTTCTCTTGGCTGCTAAGGGGAGTCGAGCGGATGAGACATCTTCTGTTGAGTTGATCAGGAGAACCAACAGTAAGTGTTTTACTTTCCCAGGAAAGTTGTGGACTACAACTTCCAGAAACACAGGAGAATTCTCAAGTGAAGGAACAGGGTCAGTCACTGTACCTGCAACCAAATAAATAATCTGGCAACATGGAGGTTTTATTAAAAACTGAAATTGACATTTTCTAGGACACATCTAACCCTGCAATACTACGATTTAATAATCCAAACCTGTACTATTCATCTGCAGGCTTGGCATACCACACAAACTCATAATTTAACTCAAATTCAAAAATACTTCATTGACCGCAAAGTGAAATCAAATGTCATAACTCATTAATTGGAGAAAATGATTAGAATTATCTTTAAATCACTTCATATTCATGAATAGTACCATTTACAGAACATTTAAACATTTTGCTAACAAAACAAAAAGCTTGATTGAAACTGTTTTCTTAACTACCATTTTCATCATATGTAAATGTATTTAGGTCTTGCAACACTGCAGTTTCTGGAAGTCAACTCTCCAACCTGCAACTGTACGTAAACTTTCTAAGACAGTCAGAAAATGCAGCAATCCACCAAGCTCCATCGAAGCCTTGAGGGCATACGTCTTAACCCTGTTAATGCTCACACTGCTGTAAATGTCCTC